TCCAGAAGATTACCTTGTGCTATTCGGCAAGCATAGCGACAATATTAATTATTGAAATTCCTGTTGATGTTGCCAAACCAAAAGCAACGACAGCAGACACCAAAAAGGCTGCATATGCTTCACCAAATAGGACAATGCAGGAATCCTTCAATTGTTATAGTTTATCACTACACCATGGTATTACCTTACTTCTAAACCTTATTCCTCTTATAGATATTTTATCTAAGAAGACCATGTCCAGTTTCTGGGTCTTAGGGTGGCCTATGCTGGGTCGGGCGCTTGAGTTTCCATTGGGTTTATGGTGGGTTGTTGTTGAAGGGTCTGGTTTGGGTCTATGATCTGGCCTAGAATAGGTTGTCTGGTTGGGTTTCTGGTGGGTCTGTGGTGGTTTTTTTGTTGAAGGGTCTGGGTTTGGGTCTATGACATGGCCTGGGGGGGCGTGTGCGGTGAGAACATGAAAATGGCCATCGCTAACTGCTAGACCGGTTGCAAGGGTCAAGATGATGCTTCAGTGGCCAAAGAAAATGAAATGGATGCCTCCAGAAGGATTTCAGCATCCTCCAAGACCACAAGACAGCCTAGACCTACGTAACAGTCAAAAAAAACTCCGAAACATGTGTGCATCCCCATGTAAAAGCTTCCGAAACAATTCATTGGGAGTGATGGCAGCTGAGACCCTGAGCTGCATTTGCCAACCCAGCTGCCGCAAGCTGCCAGGGCTGCATTGTAATGGAAAATGTTCACCTCCACAAGTCGAGCAAACAGGCAAAATACCAGGGCAGCTTCGGCGTCAAGCTGTCAACACAGGCTGGGAGGCGTGGGGCTCAATGCACCTGCCCCTGGCTCGCTCGGAAGGATTCAACAAATCCAAGAGCTTCTTGCCAGGCACCTCGCCAAAAAGCATTGCAGAATGATTAAGACGAGCCAGCTCGGATTGCACGTGTTACACCAAACATCCAAAACAGCCTTGCCAATCGAAGCAGAGCTTTGCGATGGGACAATATTTAACCTTTCTTGACACAGGGCCTGTCTTTCCCAATCTTGAGATTTCCGCAGTGATGGCTTGTGGATCTTGCAGCCTTTCAAAGGGCAACAGAAGAAGTGACTCGGCTCACGTGTTTTGCAACACGGCTTGTGCCCTCCGAGTAAGACGTCCAACTGGCCTTAGTTCGGAACGGCCCGCAGCTGCTCGCGGCTTTCCGCTGCGAAGTATCGCTGGAAGTGGTGGAACACTTGGACCTAAACGCGAAAGTTCTGAAGTCACATGCAGCTGGTGTCCGACATCCTGGCCTGAAGCTACCTTTGGCGTCCGGTCCATTGCGCAAAGTGCACAGCGACGGCATGTCAAGAGAAGAAACAAGACTCTGCCAGTTTCCAAGTATGTGTGGGAGCACTTGGCGCCCTCTGAGAGCACAGGGCTTGTGCTATGTTTGCTGGAGCCTATCATCACTACATCACAGTTTCGAACCACGGTCAATCCGTGTTGGCTTGGAACGCTCAGCAGCGCGATGCTTTCAACGCCTGAATTTCCGAAATTGCTTCGAATCTTAGGGGTAGGGAAGATTCCATTGTGAGAAGCTGCGAGCCCCAGCACAAATGGCATCGTCAACGCGATCGACACATCCAGAAAGAATGCTACGCTGAGATGTCGCCAGGAATTCTTGCCTGCAACTGGCAATCAATTCTGGTTCAAGTGTGTTAGCAAACTATGCTGGCAATCTTCCTGTGGAAAGCAAGGCTTAGCGCAGCGGCATGAACCTTAGTGTTGCCAGTGTTGCAGTGTTGCCTGCGTGCAGCCCATGGCCAGACGTGTCGGGCGGCACTCAGCGGCCTATGTGTGTGGCCTCACGATGTGGCTTCCTCGCCCTGCTTCCTTACCCTGCTTCACTACATGACTACAGGTGGCTACCTGTTTTACATCTGCTCTTGGACATTCCCGCTATAGATCACTCAGAAAAAGCAGCGGACAACTGAATCAGATCAAGAATGCATTCTGCCAAGGCTGCCTCCTGCTTCAAGTCTCTCTTTGCTGTTTTCCACTGTACTTTTTGACGTCGACACGCGTCACCACCAACCCCATCACCCCAGAGTGTGAGCCTTGAATGCGCTCACCAGATGGACCTGCTTTGGATCCGAAACCCCAGTGGGTTGAAGGACATCAACTCGATAGAGTTCTCCTGAGTTAGCCAATGCTTCACTTGATTCAAACCCTCACGAGTTGGCACAAGATCTGCAAGCATGCCTCTGCTGAAAAAAACACCTGTATCTTACTAACTCAGAAGAAATCTCAGCTTCCGCTGTTCTGGAAATTTCTCTTCTGCTATCACCCCATAACCGAGGCGGGAGGCCTTCTGAGCAAGGCAATGAGTCAAGACAGGCAATAAATCAGCTGCAGCCAAAATCAACAGATCGGAGCTCAACATTATTTTGAAGCTTGCGGTACAAGTCCCCGAAAAGACTTTCCCAAAAGGCTGTTAACATCTCCCAGCGTCAAAGGGCTGCCGGATCTCCATATCCGTATAACTGGGCTTTGGCACAGCATAGGGCATCCTGAAATCAGACTGCAGCAAGTTTGTGGCGCTACCCCATACGCAATATTGAAAGTGGCCTGCTTTTCACGTTTGGTCGGCATGCTTGCGACAACAACCTTCGACAATGTTCAACTGCCGCTTCTTGAGCTTCACGAGCTCCTCCAGCAAAAAGGCACAAAATAAATTCTTTAGCTTAGGCAAGCTCTATTTCATGTCACATGTTCTTCGCATGGGCTTGCACCACAGCGTGTTGCTCGCTTCGGCGGGGCTTTGGCTGATATCTATCCCCCTGCAGTACTTGAAGCCTGAAGGCTTTGTGGTGGCGTCTGATGCAGCAGCAGCACGACTCTGCTGCACAGCATCTCATGTCAATTTTGCCCCAACCGCTTTTGTTTCCGCTAGTGCTTACCTTTCTTATGATGGCGATGCACAACGGCAACGTTGAGTGTTCGAAACTTTGCCTAGTCGGACGCGTTTGAGACGTGAAGTTTGGCTCGCCCTCATGTGTGCTCCTGTCGCTGCGGGGCGCTTTGCACGCGGTATGCAAGGTGGACAGGGCACGTCCACCTGCACGGATCCAGGATTGAATCATCTGCTTTTCGGCCTCGAGCTCAAAAGGTGCAAGACAAGTTCCAGCCTTCGAAAAGGTGTGGCCCTGCTTGTCTGGCTGCGCATCCTGACCACGTACAGGAGTCGGTTGGCTCGCTCTGTCTTCAAGAATCTGCTTCTGAAATCGGAGTCCTCAAAGCGGTCTGCCGGCTCTGGCTGCAAACAGAGCTTTTCCTCCACCCACTTTTGGCAAAAGACTTTTTGCAGCTTCAGGCCCTGGCACCACTCCGAACCAATCCCCAGGTGGCTCCTGATTTTCCAACTCCTGGATGTCTCGGAGGGTCTTATCAATCAAGGCTTCCAGTTCCGCCGCCAAAGGCATGGGATCTGTCAAAACAAAGCAAACACTCCCAGCGCCTTGGGCTTCCAGACTGGTCAGGCCTTCTGCTGAGGACTCCGCAAGCACAACAACAGGTGCCTCACAACACAATGGATGCGCACTTCAACAACCTCTCACGTGGTTGCGCCTCATGGCCAACTTGCGGCCTCGGCAAATACTTCCAGCAGACTTGTCAGAAGTCTAGCAGGCAGCAGGCAAAGCTGACAGGAGCTTGAATTTGGGAACAGGTGGACGTCACGAGGCTTCCAGACATCCTCAAGTGACACCACACAATAGATTTCAGGGCTGCAAGGGCAAGGGCAAGGTGTACGGGCAGTGACAGCACTGCACTCCACTTTATCACGTGCTGTAGACTGCACTCTGCTCGATTCCATCCTCACAGCCCACTCCACATTCCACCCCACTCACTCCTCGACTCCTCGCCCGCACACTTCACGCCACTCCAGACTCCGCTCCTCATCTGGGCACATCCCCACTCAAGTCTCCTCGCTCGATGGTACAATATCGTACACTTCCAGACTTCACTCCCAGCCCTCTTAGCCCTACCAGCCCTTGGCTTCGCTTCCAGACACCACACAGCTCCACTGCTCACAGATTTTTCCACACTAGTTCCCCTGCCGATTGATCTCTGACAGGTGCTTGAGCTGCGGACCTTGTCTTCCAAGACCTGAAACCCGACTTTGCTGCATTGGCAACTGGACCGTTTAGAAAAAGTGGCCTGGCACTTTCCCGCGGAGGTTCCATTGCACGGGGTGCGGGCCGCAGAGCCTCGTCCTCGGCTGAGTTATGCTGACTCAAGCTATCTTGGCCGACTCCGTGCAGGGTCAACTTGCTAAGGGCTAGACTTCCTGCACCGTTTGTTTCTGGGGTCCGGCATTGCACGATTCTGTGGCTGACATGATAGCAATTTACGCCAGTGAGATTCAGTTTGTCATGCTTGCGTCTACAGTTGTACAACTGTGACAGACATGCTGCTCCATCATGCGTAGAGTACCAGCGCGTAAGGGTCAAGTCAGATGGTAGGTGCGCAGTTCCACATGTATGGGGACTGCGGGCTACATATATTGAATGTCTATGAGCTGGGCACACATGCTTGGTAAACAACACTCACCGTGCTCCACGGTGCCCACAAACCATACTATCCATCTCCAGCAAGAGGCTGCTGTTCGACCCGCATTCTCGCAAGGGCGCACTCTGACATAATCTTGGCAGGTGCAAGATGTCGACGCATTAGCCTACAACAGCACATGCAGATGGAAGAGGTGTTCCTAACTTCTGACACATCCCTTCCCTCTGCATGGGATACCGGGGAACGTCAGGATCCAAGCAAGCGCGATCACCATCCTTTTAGCGAGGGCCTGAGTAACCCTTTGTTTTGCACGCAAAGACCTGCTGCTGCTTCACTTGGATCACACCCTGATGCTTTGTCAGGGACTTCCCCAGTAACGCTGCAAAACACAGAAAGGGGGAAGGTAGGTAAACTTCCCCGGCTTCAAGCAGGTCATAGAAGCCATCAAGAATCATGAAGGAGCATGTCTTGCCACCACAGGTTCTGCGGGATAGTCCAGTGGCCTTCCTTCCTCAAACATTCTCAGGGCCGTCGGTTCCATGGGAAGCACAGCCTGCGAAAGTCGAGAGCCAGGAAGCTTGGAGTCTCCAAAGGTCCGAAGAGGATCCATACCTTTTCGAAGAATTGGCCTCAAGCTGCAAAGCACGGTCGAAAACACAATGCGCAACTCCGTGCTGATACCTACACCGCGAGAATTTCTGCATGGGCGCATTTGCAAACAGGCTGAAGTACGCCGCTAAGTTAGACATCAGCTATTCCGTGGTCTTCGTCAGGCCACGGTAGACCAAGGAGTGCCGCAAGAGCTTTGAGTTGCCCCCAAGTGGCTTTGAAAGTCGACCGTGCCAGGGAACTGTAGGAACACGAGGTAACGGACCTGCAGGATGAAGACCACATGTTGAGATGCTTTTCTTCAATCCTTCAACGGCTGGTCGGGCTTGCTAAGCGGCGGTGGATTTCAACAGTCAACATGCGGGTCAGGCTCAGCTCCGAGCGGGGAGGCGGCGAGAGGCTCGGCCAAGGTGGCGATGGAAGCGGCCGCAGACTGTTGCGTAGCTCTGTACGAAGAAGCTCCTCGGCACCAGTTCTCAAAGTTGCCCTCTGCAAACAAATTGTTTAGCGCAGGACCCCTCCCTTCCAGTCCTGGCCCTGTGCCAAGGTCTGTAGCTCCAGAAGCGCCACCTGATGATAACATGTGGGACCGCGGCTGCACTTGATGAATCGGTTGCACGCTCTTGCCTGCAGCTCTTTGTCTTTGGCAGCGCTTAGCTCTGCGTACTTCCTGAAGCACAAGCTCTTCACAACTCTCGGAGGGCAAGTCTGGCAACACTGTTGATACTGCAGATCTTGTAGTACTTGCTGGAACGCAATTGCAAAGGGATCTGAAGCGTGCGCATGTGTGTGTGTACCACTCTGTGAATCCAGGGGCGCACTTCCAACGTTAACCATTTCTTATGCAGGGATGTCCGGGGTGTTGCCTGCCTGATTGAACGAAGGTGTGCTAACAGGCTGGAAAGGAAAGTTGACACATGCTCTTCTACTTGTAAAAGTCACAGGCCCTGAGACCTGCAGCATTTTAGCCTAGTAGGGGTATCCTACTGCAACCAGTTTCCTACTTATGCTGGGCTGGCATCGCACCATCGCGTGTATCAGCACGTCATACTGCAGTTCCTCTTGGCCTTGCATGGCCACTCCAAGAACGACCCTTATCCAACTGGTAGTCCCCCATTCTCTTTCCTTCATGAACAGGTTGGGCTTTGCGATGCACAGCTGCTAGGCCCCGGTGCTGGCAAGAATGAGGCAGTACACCGCAGCGACTATATTAACAGTACTACTGCTACTAGCCGCCTCCGAGGGGAATTCATGATCAGTTTTCAGTAAAACGTAGTCCCTAGGCAGGGGGGGGGGGGTAGAAGCAGCAGGTAGCATCAGTAGAAGTAGCAGCAGAAATAGTAGCAGCAGAAATAGTAGCAGCTGTAATTAGTAGTGGCTCAACCCTCCAACCCGGAAACCCTGACGCTCGAGCCATTCCGAAGCGGCGTGTGCTAGCGTTGATATGTGATGATATATGTTATGAAAACAAAACTACGAGTATAGCGTGGATTACACGCTTGACACCAACAAGATCATTGCAGAGTAGGACAGGAACGAAACAAACGGTTACAATTACAAGACTAAAGAAAAAAGCAACAAAAGTAGTAAGTGATGCAGGGAATAGCAGCTTTAAGTTGCATAATGATACAAATGAGATTGACGCAAAATCTGTGCGCAAGTTTACGCACGTAAGGAATACATGTGTATTCGGTTCATTTCAGAAGCAGATGGCCAACAGCAACAAGCTGAAAAGCAGAAAGCAGAAAGCAACAAGACGAAAGCTGTAAAGCGAAAGATGCAGAAGTAGTGACTAGAAAGCGAAGGGCGAAACTCACAACAAAGACAGCCCCAAGGCCCCAAGAAAAGACACCAAAACCACAAAAACATAGCCAAAAAAAGGACTCAAGCGAATAATTAGAGGAGTTCTTTTGGGAATCATTGCAAGTCAAGGATCGCTTTCAGCTCTGCCAGTTCAGAGGCGCTCTCCGCTCGGCCCATTTGAGCCGCCACAGCTGCTTTGTCCTCGAGGGCCTGACCAGCAGAAACGCCAAATGTGAGGTTAGCTCTTACCCCAACGTGACTATGATGGCTACTCCAAATTTTCTGCAGCTGCCTTCGCAGCGCGCTCGCTTCCTTGAAGACGCGACTCCAGCTGTCGACTCTTGTCCTTCAGAATGACTCAGCGCAGGACAGAAAGGCTGGCACTGAACTCGATGTCCTTCTCCTTCCTGAGAAGCTCTTCTGCTTCTGCAAGTTGCTTCTCCAGTGCTTGGGTCCGAAGTGCTGCCTCGCGGAACAGCTCTGCTCTGCAGCTGCGCATCGTTTCGCATTGCTTCGATGGCTTTGCTTCGGTTTGCATTGTGCAGCGCCTCGCTTGCGCTGCTTCGGGCCTCCAGCGCCTTCCTCTCCGCATCTTCCCTCTGCCTTGGAAACACAACATTACCCTGGAACGACCTCACACATCTGAGCTTGAGAAGCAGCGGGTGTTCACTCGACAGCTCAGACACACTTACCACATGATTTGCAATGATCTGATAGATTCCTCTTGAGTCCAATTGCTATACAAGCCAGTTGTGGGTACTGTTTTAGTGGCTCCAAGCAAACCTTAAAACACACCAAGCCAAGACCAACTGAGAGATTGCTGGGTAAACGATAGATGCTTAGGCTACTCTTGCTAAGTTGGTCAGGAGAGCCGCATTCACGTAGCAGCACCGCCGCTTAAATGAATCGCGATTGAGCAGTCTCAGAGAAGCAACAACTGGGCATGTTGTCAGCGCAACTGTGCCAATGTGACATATAGTCGGCAAAAGGCCCAAAGCAATGTGATGATGGATTGCACATCTAACACGACATTGGCCAACTAGGCCCAAACGTGTTGCGCGACAGACAGCGTACCGGACTTAACTCAGGGCTGCACATGTGTGCAGGTACCGACTTTGACTTGTAGGCTCAGCGCACAACTAGAGCAAAGGACCCGTAGACTTTCTTGCAGAAATCCGATCCAAGCTTGCCGTTTGGAAGCTTGAAGCTGAGTTTCTCTTAAGCACAAGTCTTGCTTGACCATCCGCTTGGCTTCAGACCTCCTTTCCAACTCAGAGGTTCGCTGCAGTTCCGTCAGGCTTTGTCGCAGGGCCAGAGCCTCAAAAGAGCAGAGTGAACGCGCACGGAGGCTCCAAGGAGAGGAAGGAAGGGCGCCACTGCGCCAGTCTCCGCCGAGCGGCCGTGGCAGCCTCCTCGTCGCGCCGCCGCTGCGCAGCTTCAGCGCAGAGCTCCGCCTCTCCCAAACGCCTTGAGGAACAAGGAAAGTTGAAAGAAAGAGGAAAGCAGAGGGATAAAAAAGAGGATAAAGGGAGGTAGAAGAGAAGGGAGAAAGAGAAACCTGCCTCCTATCCTCCTCGGAAGCTTCAGTCCTCTGGCGCAGCTTCTCCTGCACCGTCTGTACCTCACGGTTGGAGGACAACACTCCCAGCGGCATGCTGATACCCTCAACCTGAAGCACCTCTCTGAATTACCTGCGAGCCTCGCCAAAAAGAGCTCGTTGCTGTTCAGAAGCCTGCAGTGGAGGCAACATGAGGCAGCAACGCGATCAATTGCTGGGACATCTGGCCAACGAAAGGAGTGTCTGGCAACTTCATAGGCTGCTCCCCTATGCTGTTGGGGGCCTCCTTGATAGCGGCCACGTGCTGAGCTTCTTTTGCATCCAGCTGTTGCCTGATTGCGACAGACGAAAGTAAGATTGATCCAATATGATCCAGTGGAAATCATTGCAAACATCTGCTGGAGCCTCAATTCCTTCCTCTCCTCCAAGACTGTCTGCGCAGCGAGGTGTGGCAAGGCTTCAAAGCAACTTGAGGAGAAGCCCGGACGGGTTGTTCAGCAGCACGTTGCTGAAATACCCGCCTCGTAGTACTTCTTCTTTTGCTGGGCCGCGGTTGTCCTTCACGAGGTGTAGGGAGCATGAAGTCAATGTCTGGGTGTGCTGGCTTGCTATTTTAAGAAGTCAGGCCACCTCCAGGGCCTCCAGGTTGAGAGCGAGCTTGTCATGGACAGGAGGCTCATGCAGTCTCACGACGCTATGCGGCTTGGCGCTTGTGATGATGTTGTTCATTTGCAGAAGAGCTATGGGCCACGGGGCCACCAGTCAGCATGTGAAAACAATGATCTTGCAATGCGTCCCCAGGGATTGTAGCTGTTTTTGTCTTGACCCGAGCTTGACAATAAAGATGATCTTGCGACACTTCAATAGCAGCAAGATGCAAATAAGGTGTTGAGGTGGCGGAGGTGCCTCTGCTTTTGCAGTCAGCTTTGGTCGCGAAGCATAAGTTTTCAGACTGGATGCTGGCTGGGCAGTCAAGCAACGCAGAGTTGTGCACACACGCAGTCACTTGGAGCAATTAGGAGCAATGACGTTGACGACTCTGACGACTGCTCAGCCTTGGCCTCTTGAGACCCTTTACTCCAAAAGCTCTGCTCAGCATTCCTTCCCATCTCTTGCCAGCTTCTACCACCAAAACCTGCCGCATGTCGCGTGTCAGGTCACAGGAAAGGTCTGCACCCTTTGTGTAGGACTTGCCTTGAGCCGAGCATCCGCGGCAGCGCACCTGCCAGTCATAGTTCAAGACCGAAGGAATCTCCCAACATGTCCCACCACACGCAACGACAGCTTTGAGCACGTCCCAACACCGCAACTCTGAGAGCTAACTATCCAAATCGCGTTGAGAAAGTGCAGACGGCTCAGCGCAGACTGCGATGAAGACATACACGCAATCTTCAACTGCCAATCTGTCCGCCAGAGACCTTTCTCCGCCCCGCTTGGGCTTGCGCGTTTGAAGCTGAAACATCAGGGGAGCAGAGACAAGCTGAGGAGGCGGATCAGAAGCTGGCCCAGCCAGAGCACGTGAAAGGACACGAGATAAGGATTTGGGAACCTGCTCCAGGAGCCCCAGCTGCACTCAAACGAATCTTGGATCAGGTCAGCTGGTTAGCTGCACACCATGTGTACTGGCCCAGGAAACAGCAGTCTAGTGCTGTTTGCCCACCTGTGCAGCTCCAACGTGGCTGCATGTTCGGCTTGCTGCTGGCGTCGTGCCTCTCATGGGGAGGAAGGGAGCCTACAGAACCGTCTACAAAGCGACAAAAGACGAGGAGACAGGGTCAAGCCGCGAGTCAAGCTAAACACCGGCCAAGCCCAGGCCTGGGCCTTTCTGGTCGTCGCATGCCGACCTCGCAAAGGACATTCACATGCTCTGTTCTCTCACACGCATTGGACACACGCATACACACGTGACTTGCAGTCCGACGAGCGCTGTGACGCTGCAATGCGCCATGGACACCTCCAGCACCAATGCAAAGGAAAAGAGAACTCTTACGGAAGATTGGCCTAAACAAACATCAAGCGTCTGGGTGGCCAAACGCACGAGGGCTCTCTGCATGGAGAGGGGGCGGCTGTGACCCGGTCTGGGCTCACCCAGGACCTCACGGCAGCTGCCAAACCAGCAACTCTGATACCAGCCACGGCAAACATGTGGCTAGGGGATCGACAAGTAACTGAGGATCCAAAAGAAAAACTAATACTCAAAAACAAGAAAGAATCCAAAAACAAGGGTTGGCTTGCAATTTAGAAAATGCAAAATTGCAAGGATCAAAGAAAACATGTAATGGTCTCATGGCAGAACACCACACCATACTTGCAGACTTTGGGACGTGCAGAACACCACACGATACTTGCAGACTTTGGGACGTTGGATGACTTCATATTACAGCGTTCGCAAGTTTTGACAGGACTGGAACGCTGCAAAGTGCAGCAGCTTGCAGCACCCGGAATGCCGGAAATACTTCAGTTTGCAGGATTTGCAAGTTCTGGAATGCTGGAACTGTTGTACATAGCTTTCATTTTGTCAAAAAAGGAAAATGCAAAGCTTGGAAAATTGGACAAACAAGTGGCCCAATCATGAGATAAAACACAATGCTCTCAGCTTTTGGAACGTCGGAAAGACTGCTACTTGCAGCACTTGCAGAAAGTGTGCAACATGCTGAACACAATGATGCAAATGCTGAAAAACATGAAAATGACGCAAAACCTTAGTGATGAAAATTGTGAAGAATATGACACATGCAAATCATACAAATGATCAAACATGATGAAATACAAATGCGCAATGATGACAGTGATGGAGAAAGGAAATATGATAAAAATAACTGAGATGAAAAAATGTGACTCATTCTGATATGTGAGAGACGACGAAATATGTGATGAGACAAGCATGGAAATATGAACCATGACGCGAATGATCCGAAAAGGTGATAAATCATGAATGACGGTGAAAATCATGAAAAAACGATGCAACATGGTGACGGTGATGGAAAACTAAGGTATGATGAACAAGAACTGCGGCAAAAATTACGAATATTTCTGAGAGATTATGAAAATGATGTGAAATATGAGAAAATGATGACATGTGATGGAAGCATGATAAGATTTGTGGCGAATAATGAATGCACGACGAAGATGATGAAACTTATGAAAACTCTTGAAGATAATAAAAAATGGGGAAGTGGACACAAATACTGAAAAGTGATGAAAGACCATGAGAAAGACTGTAGTGTCACCAAACATGATGAACAACTTTGATCATGGATCCATAACGAATCTCAACTTTACCAGGAGCGGTCCATGCTAGAACGCTGTAACTGGCAGAATGCTCAGCATCCAGGAGCTGCATGGGCTGCATTTTCTACTATAGAGACAGATCTTGTTTTTGGGTTTGATCCTCATTTCCGGCGTCCAGGAGCTGCGAGCGCTGCATTTTGTACCACAAAGAGTTAATTTTGAGTTTTTATGGAATCCTCGTTTTTGATCCTTTTTTGTTTGTTTTTGAGCCTTGTCTATGTAACCTTCTCACCAAACATATGGCCTCCATCCATGCCTTTTGCAACTCAGCGCGCCCGTGTTCACCTCAGAAAGCAGGGGCCCACCTCACTCTGCATTCTGTTCAGCATGCATACGTCACTCAAACCTGAATCGACAGCCAAATGATCCTTATGCACCTTATGGCCTTACGACATCTTGGCAGACGGCGTGCTGCATGCAGCCGCCATCGCCACGCCAAGGCCTGCAGCGGCAAATCCCTGAAGCCTGCCCCCGTACTTTCGCAAATTGAATCCTGGCTCTAGTGTCGGCGGTCACGGAGGGCTTTGGTGGCGACTGGCGGCAGCAGTGACAGGCGCTGGCAACAGTGGAAGGCTGTGTGGCTTGCAGTGGCTTGCGATGGGGATGACGGTTGTGTCTGCAGCATGTACGGGAACACTGCCAGGGCGAGTGGGGAAAGGGGGGGTGACAATGGTGAGTAGCATACAGAATACGGCCCACATGTTGTTCACAAACAGTGTGCGAATTCCCCGGCTTTTAACATATCACTTGGCGGAAAATGTAGTCTGCATCTTCTGCTGGTGTCTACGTGCAGCCATCCTTAAATGCAGGACTTTATGCAGATGCGAAAACATCATGTCAGTTGTCATGCAAATGCGATGACTTCTCATGATAATTCATGACTAGAGAGTCTGCAGGCTGGTCATGTAATTATGTTGGGCCACCTCAACATCTTGAAGGATGCACACTCATGAAGACCCTCCGGCATGAAAAATCAAATGGTGAATGCTCTAGATATCTTGTTTCCATACCGTTTGGCACTCTGGCTCTCGTCCGCACATTGACATCTGGACCCGTTGAGCGACGAGACCTTAAATGCCGCAGGCTCGGCGATGTGTTCCTGCATGTGACTGTTGATGCTTGAGGGGGCTGGAATTAGCTCAAGATGTCTGCACATCCGTCATAGAGCGGCAGCATCAGCTCTCAAGGTGTTTCAGAGGCCCTTACCCTTCAGGGAACAGTTCGCGCAGCACCCAAAGCCAGGATTTGCTGTGTGATCCATGGCTCTGGCCGGCCGCTTGACGTCGACATATCTCATTCGACTGTACGAGATGTTTGGGGATTCGGAGCTTCCCTGTCCGTCAGGGATGGGCATAGCTGTTGCCTCCCGTATGGACAGCAACATTTGGAGGAAAATCGTGATGTTCTTCTTCCCGGCTGCCGTTGTCAACTGTTTGGTCATAAGACCTGGAGGCTGTTTCAAGGCAAGCCCACCGAGAACCTTACTAGGTAAAATGAAACAGCCTCAGAAATTTGAAGACATATCTACATAACATGATTTTTTGACATGGCGCACTAACTACAACACTGAAAAAGCTCAAGCGGCTTTCTCTGCGCTACGTCCTGGAAGCCTTCTCTATGAAAGGGAGCAGATGAGCCGTAGACCTTGGACGCCCCCACCACCTGCCGCCGCTGCTGCCACCAGAGGCACTTGCATCAGCAGTGGCAGCGGCGTTTGCGGGGATGGTGATGACATCGCCGGTGGTGATCATGGTACTGGCCATAGAGAAGAAGAAGAAGAAGATGATGATGATGACCGCGACCACGATCAGGACGATGACGACAATGACGGCGACGATGACGACACCGACGCTGACGCCGACGAAGGATCAGGACGAGGACGAGGAATACGCCGGCTGCGGCGGCGATGATAATGGCGGCTGTTAAGCTGAGTGGTTCACTGGAGCCTTTGCAGTGACATGTCCTGGATCTGCGATCCCTCAAGCCAGCGGAGTGAGGGTTGAGGATTGCTTGAGCAAACGTAAATCGGGTTCGGAACCGAGTTCAAGGATTGTGCCCTCCCAAGGCACCGGCTGCGGTTTCATGGCAGAGGGCAGGGGTCGGGCCTGGGGGCTTCGTAGGCGATGATGATGATGATGAAGATGATGATGATGAGGAGGAGGAGGAGGAGAGAGGAGGAGGCGGCAGAGGAGGAGGAGGACCATGGGCGAGGACTGACGGGGCTGATGACAGCTGGGCTCAAGTGGCTACATGCATCAATAAAGATGCCACGTCTGACCGCTCTGGTTGATACATGCAACTCGTTGTCTGCCTGCGTCAGGGATGACGTAGTTGGTGACTCGATGGCACCAGCCAAACATCCTCACGGGAAAGGATGGGCTCTTCAATCAAAGCCCTTTTCGAGCAGCCCCACATGCAAATGCAAGGGGGATTACTCTCCAGTAGAATGTGATGAAGCACGGATGTAACCATTCCTTTTTCTCACTGTGCATCGTAAGAGGTACAGGAATGTCGTCCGTCTCTGCGTAGCACGGGCTTGCAAGCTATACAGTACCACACAGGTGTTTAGCGCAAACACGGCATGCAACCAAGTCTGAGGTTGGTACCAGAGCTGACAACCACAGCGTAGGTCGGCCTGGCTGATTGCGATGCACTACGTACTTCAGCTTCTCAACTAAGAGGTCCATGCTCTTGGGCAATGGACGGGAAAGCCGAAAACTCACTAGCAAAGCACTGCATCATCCACCAATACCATCCCTGAGACCCGGATACACTGCGAATGCGACCGTTTCACATGGCTCGCCTCAGCTCCGACGCGTCAACCCCAAACTCGGCCTGAAGACACTCCAACATAGTTTATAGCTCCAGCGTAGCCTGGTGTCATGTCTGCCAGACCTTCTTGTTACTGTAAGAGCCAAACCAGAGCCACCTCCATAGCCCAAGCAATCTGGTCCTGGAGCAAGGCCCAAACTAGACACAAGAGAATCGAATCCGTGGTGCATGGCTGTCGCGCTTCTGTCAGTCTGATATACGATGCACGATTGTTGCGCAACCACAACGGGGGGGTAGGGGCGACTCTCCTCTTCGACTTCCTCGCCGCTTTGGCAGACACCGGTCGCAAGCTCATCTGAGCAAAGCCAGCGGCATGCTGTGCAGTTGATGCACGGCCGTGTAAACAGCAAGTTTATGCCATGACTTCTGCTGCGGCCATGTAAGCTTGGAGCAGCTGCGCAAAAGCACTGCGTGAAAACGGCCAGCCTGCCAGAATCGTATCAGTCCAAGCGTGGGAGCAGCTCAGCAAAGCTCTGCTATTCCACCTGCAAGCGGCACCGGGTCGTGGCAGATCGGACCTGGCATTAGTAGACAGCTTCTGAGACTTTGGGAGTGCCCCCCCTTTCCTGCCGGGTATCTCTCCAATTTTGCTAGGAGTAAAGGATTCAAGCTCTGAGCGCATCTTCAAACGAACTCTCCCACACCCTCCGCTCTCCTTTCCTTCTCCATCCCTCCAGGGTTCGGCACCGAAAATCCATTTTTCCCTCGAATCCTCAGTGCTGAATACATGCATGTAGGCATGGGCGCGGTCTCTACTCGGCCAACGAGAATGTAAATCTTGACGTGCAGGAGTCTCTGCCATGGAGAACCCAACTTTTTAAAAGCAGGAGCAGCAGCAGCATCCAGGCAAGTGTTTTTTGCTTCCCGAAGCTGTGATCTGTTGTTCAGTCGTCGTCCCCACGCCGGTGCTTACATGCAGGAGAGGGAGCCTACACATGCAATTTGGTCTGGAATTTGCAGTCTGAAGCTCATTGAGTAAATGTTGGCATGTCATTCCCAAAGATTTCGAATAATTCCAGGCCGGTGCACGTTGCGGAAATAAATATATGTAGACAGCACTCGCTTGCCTTGCAAGTACATAGGGAAAGACTCGGTGCAGCGTTTGACGGCCTCAGAAACCCTTTGGCTCTTCCGTGACAAACGCGACTCAATCATGCGGCACACCTCTCTCGGCCAGCCTGGAAGCTGTTCAGATTTTCAATTGTAACGCTATGAGATTTGCACAGCATGACTGAAGCATGTTTGTTGCTGGTTTCGGCATTTCAGAGCGCGGCTTGTGCAGACTTGTCGTTGAGTTTGTAACTGTTTAAAAGCAATTTTAGACCCGCAGGCTTCATTAACCTGTTTGCCAACTTCTGCTTCCAGATAAATCATTCAGGCTAATGTCCCCTATGCGCTCTACATCTATTCCCAATCTACTCTACCTGCTCTGCTCCTGATGTATAAACGTGGTGCCGCAAAGCTTGCCGTGGCCACTTCCTGAAGCTCAACGTCTTCACAGCTCTGCCAGTCGGCTCCCCTTCCTCTTCACAAGCGGACTGAGCTCTCTGACTTGGGACGTCTTTCGTTCTGTCGTATTTGTTCTTGACACCAAACAAATCCAGCACAGAAAAGTACTCCATCTATGCTTCTTGTGCATCGGGATGAAAGAGGAAGCGGTACTGCTGGTCCCTTCCCTTTGCCGCCTTGTTCTACTTTGGCATTAAGTTTGAGAAAAAACGCGTCAGCGGCCACCTGCCCTCCAACCTGACATCGTCCCTCCGTCAACATTCCTCTCCCCAACCTGCTGCCGATCAGCTCTCCTTCCACCCCTTTTTCCAAGCCTTCCCAGCAGGGAAAACATGCACGGCACTTTTTGTGCCATTGAAGCCAGCCATTTGCCTGTTCTTTTCTGCACAATTCTTTCCCAATTCCTCTGCAAGTACCCATTCATTCAGTCAGTCATTCATCACGCTACTCCATAGTCTGGAGCTGAGCGCTGCCCAACCTATACATACAACCGCTACTGCAGGGGAAAACTTGTGGCAGTGCCCCCGAATCTCTTGGACCATGGCACAAATTTCGCTAGTGCTCAGGGAGATTTAGAGTGAGCCCGCCTCCTTGGCTTTTAGAGAATCAATCCAAAAGATGTTCGATGAAACATTTGCTTTGCTTGTTATTGGTTGATCCCAACAGGGGCCTGTCTACGAGTCGCCCTATTCGCAAGATGCCTCATGAGATCGGAACTGTTAATGTCGAAATCAATGTGGGGATCTGATATTGCGAAAGCTTCTTTGCTGGACTCGATCAGCCAATTTGCTCTTGGTTTGCCTACCCTCCGCGCGTGCTCATTGCGGGGCGCATACGTGCCTTGCTGGAAAAGGACTTGCCTCATCGGATCTGTTGCTGGTGATCTTAGCATGTGTCCTACTAAGGTGATACTTGGTTAACGCCATGCTTTTATGATCTGACATGTCTGCCGATTTGGGGGGGCGTGTTGGATGGTTTCCGTAGATGGAAAGTGGAGAGGATGGATTCCGTCGTGTTTTCTTTCTGGGTGGGGGGTATCCCAGCAGCGTTTCACTGGCAACCGTCTCAGCTGATGCGTGTGCATGAGTAGCGCGGGGGCGCAGGCCCCAGACCCAGATTTAGCTGGGTCTGGCCAGTTGCCCGAACATGCTCATCAGGGGCCACCCCAAGCTAGGCTCTCATCAAGGCCTGGACACGTCTGCAACAATGGAATGCAGTCTTGGTACTGCACAGTCCCGGCAACCTGGCTTGCTGCGCCAATTGATTTCCTGCGCAACCACTGAGAACAGCAAGGTTGCGGAGTCCCAGCAGCCTAGCTTGAACTAATCTTGTTGCGTCGAAACATCAATGTTTCCGTTTAGGCTTTAGGCCGTCGCAACTTCTTTGCGAATGATTGGCGCTTGCGGGCCCAGACCCCAGGCCCTTGAAGGCCCGGGCCCCAAACCCCTGCGGCCCGGTCCCAGCTGGACGCGTCTGCAACAATGGAATGCAGTGTTGGTCCTGCACAGTCCCAGCAACCTGGCTTGCTGCGATTAATTTCCTGCGCAACATCTGAAAACAGCAGAGCTGCGGAGTCCCGGCAGCTTAGCTTGAACTAATCTTGTTGCGCCGCTTGGTCTCGTGCCAGTAGCTGAAAAACTCAAGGTTTAGGGTTTAGGCTTTAGGGAGTTTATAGGGTTTTGGGTTAACCGCCTTTGGATCGGCGGACTGGGCCGGAGGCCAGTGCGGATGCACGCCTAGCTCAAGCCCTGGTCAAAAATTAATTAAGACGATTTGGGGGCCAACATCATCAGCACAATTGGGCCTTCGTTTCTCACTTTTGGACACCTCAACATACCTAGGGTTTTGGAGGGGTCTTGAAGCGTCATATTGTGTGGTGTCAAGAAGCAAGTCGGGGGCCCAAACAGGCCCCATGATGCTCATGATGCTGGCGCTTGGGGGTGCAGGGCGCATAAAATTCGCCATAAACCCCAACAAAATGCTCAAAATACACGTTGTGGGCGATGTTTGTGGCAGTATATACCAGTGTTGGTAGGATCTGCGCAGAGAACCATGTCCAATGCCGTTTTAGATGGCTTTTCTTTGTTTTTTGACCCCCCCCCGGGTCTCCATTCAGGTAAAGTGGGGTCCCAATTGTGCTGATGATGTTTCTGTACGAGGCGCGCGCGCGCGCGCCTCGTGCAGAAACATCCGCTGCACAATTGGGTCTCGATTCTACCTTCGGCCAGGGAACAAAGCAGATCTAACAGCCCTACAGCACTCATTTAGGAGTGGTGCTTTGGGCTTCGGGTTGCGGCCAGGCCGGCCCCTGCCGCCAGGCCCTAAATTTGTACTTTGCTGTGTCAATTGACGTCCTGATTACTTTCTGGTTTGTCCATTCTCCATTCACCTGTGTGGATGGTACCTGTAGAACTTGTCTAAGCATTTTCATTTGGAATGCGCCTACGTGGTCTTGTGCTGCACAGGCTAATTGTCTCTGAGCCGGACAGTACCTTGCCGAAGATGACTACATTCAGGACCCTAAGCTTCCATCTTTTAACAGTTCTAGTTTTGGACCAAAAGAGTTGCTTCTCCAATGTTCTTCAGGATTTCTCTGTGACTGTCAACAGCATCTGTAAGGGTTGCTCCTAGATGAACTGCTTGCATTTTACGAGGCGCATGCGAACCGTCAAGGGATTTCACAGATGACTGACGCTGATTGATGTTTAGGTCAACACACTTATCCAGATTTAACTGCAGATTGTGCTTTTGTGATTCTGGTTGTATCTCATGTGGGGCTGCTGAATCGTCGGAGTGTGCGTGCCACAGATCAGCGTGTCATCAGCATACATCACTTCAGCGAGTTGTAGCCCTGGAGTAGGTTCTTTCTGCTTAGGCGTGTTTAGCTCAGTCTTGCTGTCCTGGAGGATAGCAGATAGCAGAATGCAGAAAAGGTATGGGCTAAGTCGGCATCCTTGTCGGATACTAGCTTTTTGAACCTATTATTCTGATTTGTTTTCGCCCTTGACAACCCTAAACTGTGCATTCTGGTACATGTTCCCGATTGTCTGTAATATGTTTGGCGGGGCGTGTAAGCGCTGCAAAACTTCAACTGGTCGGTGCTGGTCGAATTTGTCGCATGTTTTTGGCCAATCTAAGCATACAGGTGTAACGTCTTTGCCCTGCCATTCTGCCATGTCCTTTAGTCTTCTAGCAATGAATGTGGCTTGCGCGGTTGAGTTTGTTTTAGCGCGCGAAATCCAAACTGAGTCTTGGAAATCCATGGATCGATCAGATCAACGAGATATTGGTTCATGAACGCAGCAAGAATTGTGTAAAAGACCGATAGAATTGCTATCGGCCGATAATTTTCAAGCTTAGCTGGGTCACCCTTTTTGAATTCATGCTACGTTTGCATAGTCCAGCGAACGAAAATTTTCCCACTGATCAAGATATCATTGTAATGCGCAAGCAGTTTTGTTCGGTTGCCATTGTTAAGCCATTTAATAAGTTCTGCGGCAACTTTATCTGGGCCTGGAGCCTTATTCCGCTTCAAATTCTTCATAACCTCGTTGAGTTCGTCTATTTCCCATGCCGTGTCCTTCAAATTTGCTCCTATGTGAGACAGTTGTTGTGTACGGGGAGCATGGTTTCCTTCTGGCAGTTTCCATTGGACTTCAGTGAGATATCTGCACCCTTCTCACTTGAATTTGCAATGTTTAAGCACAAACTTCTTCCCGAGAGACTTTATGCCTTGCCACCTGCGTCCTTGCTCATCCATAGTCTCTAACTTTTCTATTATGAACTTCTTCTTGTCTTTTCTTAGATGTTTGCAAAATGGTTTCTCAATCTCGCCCGCTTCGTGCATGTACCGGTTCTTTGTCTTTATTGAAAACGAGCGTCTCTCCGATCGTCTAAATCCCACGCAACAGCCATGTCAAACAGCAATGCATGCATTTGGTTGCAACAATGTTGCCGCGAGAATGTCATCAAGAACAAGACCCATCTGTCTCTTTGCGCGAAGCCGTCCAGGAGCCAACAAGCCCCGCAAATCCTAACAAGCATGATGATAATCATCATTATCATCATTTGCATGGACAGAGAACATAAGCATTTACCAAAACTCCCCGGACACTCCAGAACCACAAGTACTTTGGGGCCTGCTTCTGAGGGGGTGCGAAGATGGAACTATCGCTTTGCTCATGTTTTGCTTCACTTGAATCATGTACACCTGCTGCCAGTTATCAAGTTTGAGTGGTACAGCATCGCTTTGAGGGTCTGCAAGTGGCTTTGCGCAGATTCCAACTATTTACAGCAGTCCGTTTCTTAGTCCTCAATCTGAGCGTTCTGATGGTTGCTCACATGTTAGCGCTCAGCGCTGCCAAATGTACCACATTTGGCAATCATTTAGCTATTTCGCCCGCCTTGAGGACTCACACATGTGAAAATAGCCAATGCTTGGTGTATCGCACTCCAGGTAGGGCGCCGAGAAAAGCTTGCACCCTCTCGCACATGCTCAAGGGAACTGTGATAGCCGAAAACCATCTGCTCCTCACTCCCAACAGGGACCCCTCTTCAAAAACGGCATTTTTCTTTTTGTACGCGTTAGAAACAACAAAAATACGACACACGTTGCGAAATTTGCTCCGTCCCTGGGCCCGTGCCCCTACCACCTACCCCCCAGAACCGAAGCCCTTGGACCCCCCCCCGAGCCTTTGCCCCACCGCCAACCCTTCCTTGACCCCTTATCCTGGAACCAAGGCCCTTGGTTTACCCCCCCGTCCACCAGGCCAGCTCTGGTGGGTACCCCCTCCCCACCCCACAGGGCA